CCCCAAAACCCCAAAACCCCTCTTTACTTTTGCTCATTAAATTTTTTAAGATTCTATCATTTTATTTTAAACTCATTACATTAAATAAAAGCCTTATATATTATTATATGATTCATATTATTACTGTTTTCTTTATTATTTTCCTCTTTTTTGAAAATATTATAGCTATCAATATTATATTTTGACAGTTTTCTTCTCATTAGGATTCTAGACTTTAGAGGGTTGATTTTGATTGCTTGTATTTTATTTCATCTTTTAAAGTTCTAGAGTTATTAATTCCCATTACACTATTATCTTTTTCTTTATTAAAGAGCTAATTCCTTTTTTATTTAATGAATGGAGAATAATTTTGTTCTTAAGACTAGAAACTTTTATAGCTTTCTTAATCTTATTTCTATGCTGTCATATTTTGTAGTTCTTTATCAACTAATTCCATAAGTTCTAATTCTTCATCCTTTGAATTCTAATCATAAGCCTAACTTTAATTACTAAATTCTGAGTTTCCAATACCTTAAACTTAAGATCGACTATGTTTCCTATTATGATATAATTTCTTAGTTTTTTTAATAGATTCATGGGTAGTAGTTTTGACTTACTTTTCATTATTAATTGTAGTCATTATCATATATTATGCGAATTTCTATGATATACTATTTTGGTTTCCCTGATCTTTGTCAATCTAGTCAAGTCTACTGTTATTTGTAATAAACTTAGCTTTTACTTTCTCTAAAAATGTCATATCATGCTACTAAGGTTCTATCTCCTTTTTTAATAAGCCCATCAATAGTCTTATATCTATTTTTCTATTTTTGCTTTTTATGTTGTCCAAGTAAGAGCTTAGCTGTTCTTTCATCTTTCCAATTCCCATAAGTTTGATAAACTAGTTTTTACTTTTTACCTTCTTAACCATCTTTACATCATCATGCTCTGAATTATTGTCACTACTTTCTGAGTCAAGAATGTTCTTCTTTTAAAATGCAAGCATGAGTTGTTGAGTTGGGTTTAGAAGAACCTTTAGTAAGAGTTTGACTTACTTCATTAGCCTGAATAAAGAAATTGCATCGAATTCACTGTCTAGTTTTTTAACTCCTTTTTTAAGTAAATACAGATTCCGATACTCTTCCTAATGCTTGAGTTATGATAGTTTTTTATCGCTAATATGCCCAAAGGAGGCTCTTAAGAGGTCTCTAATTTTGAATATGAGGTTCGATCTATTAGATATTTCATTAATTATTGCTTCTAGCAAACTTTATTTTTTCCTTCTTGGAGATTATTTATCTATTGTTGAAGTGTCAATTAAGCTAGGATCTTAATATAACTAACCAAGATTCATCGAAGAGCTTCTTTTGCTCTGAATAGATTTAAGATTTTTCCATGTTTCATTGAAGAAAGAACTTAGTATTTTCTAAGGATTCTTATCACTTTTATGGTTTTTATTTACCTTCTATTAATATATCTCCTTTATAATCTGAGAGTAGAGGATATTCTCACTAATGTTTGAGACTAGGATAGCTCCCAAAGCAAATAGAGCACTATAAAATCCTCCAAGTTCTGAAATGAGATCAGTAAAATTGTATACTTGTCTGTTGTAAATATCCTAGTCTAAATCTATCCTTAAGATTACTCTGACTAAGCAATTTGTACAGAAGTAATCTGGATATGTCATGAAGTTAAACACTTTTTCAACTGAAGCGAATTCTCTCTCAACTTCAGCTTAAAATGGGAGGTATTAATCGTTTAGCTGAGCATGATTTCTTCTAATCAAAATATTAGTTGTTTTTTGGTATCCTGGATTTATGGGCACATAGTATCGATCTTCAATGTAAGGTTTGATAGGAGTCTCAAAATCTAAAAAGTCAAAATGCTGATTCACCATTCTTAGATTGAAGTTGATCTATTTGAGTTATTCATGAATATTTTTATTTACTTTAAATAGAGTGGAATCTATTTCCTCCTGAGGAGCACAAACTAGAGAACTATTTGTACTATTAGTACAAGGTTGAAGAAGTAATTCGATTTATTCTAACTTATTAGTTGCAAATGCTCCTCCAATCTTTAGCTTTGATTTGTCTTTTATGCAATAAAGATTTTCAGTGTCTAGCAATGCTGATTCATTCTTATTTTTATAATTCAAATGCTCCAGACCACATTTGACAATTTCAAGATCAGTATTATGTAGAACGTTATCTAATTTTATAAGTTTAGTAAATTCTAGGATAGATAATTACAAGTTCCTCCAGAGGTTTCATTTTTAAGACGTAATTTCTAACTATGAATAGCCTTTACTTTTCCTATTCGTGGTTTTACCTCAGTACTTCCTCCAAATGCAATATCAAATCCCAGATCACTAAAACTATTTGTTGTAAAGATATTACTAGATATCATAAATAGTAGGGTTATCTTTGATAGCTTCATTGATTGAAAACTTCGAAGATTTTATATTTCCTCTCTCTAAAATTTAGAAGATATTACTAATCTGGAATGAAATTCTTACAAAATAATTCTTTTAACTTGAAACCAAGATAGCTAAGTAATGCAATAACTATAACAGCAGTCATAATAGCTCCTATTCTTGTCTTGAAAGTTCTACAGATTGCATATTTCACAGTTTGATGATGATTAAAGCAAAAATATACTTTTAGCCTTGAAAAGTAAGTCTAAACGGCTGTCCATACATATCTATGTTTTTGAAACTTTTGCCGATTTATCTCCAGCTCTCTTAAAATTTCTTTCGTAAATCTAAACTTGAACATTTTTGCACAATTTTTATTGATGTAAATTACTGGTTTCAGTCATTGTTACACTTTAAAGATTAAGTTATAATAAAATGAACTAGTTAAATCTTAAATAAAACAATATTAAGTCATATTTAATCATATATTTAAACTTTAAATATTTAATTTTTTAACTACAAATTAGAATAAATTTTTAACATCACAAGGGGTTTTGGGGTTTTGGGG